GAGCTTCATGGGTATTCCAAAATTTTGACCCTTTGTGAGGGAGATACCAGAAGGAGTGAACCGATATCTTCCATCTTCACACCAGATCAAGGGTTAATAAAAATATTGTGATGTGTGTAATTTGAAGACAATCGGACTCTTACATCGCTTTATATAAGAGTTATAATTATTCCCAATTTTAACCCTTTGTGGGGGAGGACTTGATGGAGTTAACCGAGATTGTCCATTTTCGCACCGGACCTAGCACTGATTTAAATATTAGGGCATGCAAAGTTGGAGCAAAATCGGATTATCCTATCTCTTTCTGTGCAGTAAATTATTTTCTTTGAAAATGTTGACATTTTGTAGGGGAGGTCCCAGAAGAATTGGAGCGATATTGCCCATCTCCGAACTCGATCTAAGTTTGACAATAGTATTACGATGTACCAAGTATGGATCAAATCGGACAATCCATTCGAGAGTTATGGTGCGCTTCAGCCAGTCAGACAGACAGACGGACGGACTTCGCTAGATCGACTTCAAATGTCCTGAAATGGATTTGGTCCAAAGAGACCTAGGGTCTAAACAATGGGTTTCGATGAGGGATATTTTGGCCATATCAAATGATATATACCCACTGTAGCCGTATGGCTGAGGGTATATATAGAAACGGAATAATTTAAGGGAAGATGCGAGTGAGGCGAAAATATTGGGCGAAAAATGAGCGCAATCTTCATATCGATATTGGACAAACAAGTGAGTACTTCTGAAGGACTTTGAAGTGAATGAAATAATGTCATATTGTTATATTAACATATTGTAATATTTAGTAATTAAAATCTGATCAGATGAGCTTCAGTTGGTGTGATGATAGAAACTATTAAAACAGCGCCATCTATGAACTGGAAACAATCAAATAAATTAGCGTCTGAAACAACTAATTCTAAGCGAATAAAAAGCCTGGCATATTTTAACAGTAACGGATCGGTTGAGGCTCCGTTCGAGTGAATATGGGAAATAAGGCGATGTTATTGTTACATCGTTACGAATGATAATTTTAAAAGGGAGCACCATCTTGATATTGGGATTACGTATCGACGTCCAAGGCAATTTGAAACGTATTTTTAGGAACGGCCCGGGTAGGGATATGTTAAATTAAAGTAGTCACATAAGTTGGAGCTATTGTTAATTTGTCCTGAAAGAATTCTTGGCCTTAATATGTGAGCTGTAAAGAGCGCCATCTCGATATTGATTAGGGAGTTGCTGTCTGCGCTAAATAAATTCCTAGATGGATAAAATCTAGAATTTTTATATATATCCTTTTTTGATGAAATATGGTAGGACATTTATGGACACACAAAGAAACTTAAATAGCGAACCAAAAAGACGTGACTGACCAGCTAGTCTACAAATAAGTATTTATTATAGACTAAATTCAGGGAGTTCACCAACTGTCGCTTCAGGGAACTTTCTTCTTATGTTAGGGTAGTAGAAAGAAAATGTCGACGCAATTCGAAAACATCAAACTTGCTAGACGAGACTGGGGTCATAATATATTCCAAAGTTAGGGAACATAAATTACAGGTCAACTGGTTAACTGAGAATTATACGCTATAAAATTTGATAGAAAATCTGAAGTTGTGCAAACGGTTAAATTGACACCTAAAAATCAGAAGATGAGACAAGTCACGTTTGGCCACATTACTGTCCTTAATTTGAAGAGGTGCGAGGTTCTTCAATGTGACAGTATGTGGCCGAACGTGAATTGTCTTTCATACGTTATTTCAACAAGCACGCCGAAAGCGACAGGGGGAGGAGAAGAGTTGTACGTCGTATCACATCGCAACACGGCGTGGAGATTCTATTAAATTTTGATATTGAATAGAAGACACCATAGGCCTACAGTCTATGGAAGTGGAAATTGAGATGAAAATTTTATATGGTAGTATTATGATATATTTTTAACAATCTTAGATAAAGTCTGAAAATTTAAATGTTGACCCTCTATAAATTATTAATTAAGTCCTAGGTGAGTAGTAGTGGCTACTCTTGGTTGACCTCTAATAATGCTAACAACTTTTTAAAATGATAATCTTTTCATTAGGAGCAAAAACCCGCCCACAGAATAAAACTGCTTCTAAATGGGCAATATAGGACCCCTTCTTCTGGCAACTTTTCCGCAAAGTGCCAAACCTTCAAAGAAAAAATTAAGCATCATAGAACGGCAATGCTGTCGAAGACGAATCTAATTTTTCCCTCATCCCCCACCAGGAATACACGTTAACTACGCCCATGTCCATTACCTACTAAGTAATGAATTTGATCCGCAATCATTTGACCGTGTGCGTTCCACATACGGTTTTTATTATTGTTTCTACACAGCACAACACTACTCCACTTTATCGTTCATCGTCGTTCGTGACAGACTCTTCTAATGGTTCGAACATGAAAAAATGTGTGTGATGGAAAAAACAGTGAGCTGTGAAGCATTTTTTCTCGTTGCTGCTGTTGCTGCCGTTGTTGTTGTTGTTCTGTTGAATGAAAATGAAACTAATCTTGAAAATGTATTCTACACGTGACCTCATGGAATGAGTAATAGAAGTAAATATGCGATTGCGATATTGCCATTAAAGAGAAATGAATGTGAAGAAGAAGAACAACGGCAACAACAACAAAAACATCTACAAATATTATATATTATTAATATTATATAATTGAGTGTGGAATTCGTATAACGATCATTAGTAAGGGGAGGTCAGTCAAAGATTTGTTAAAACAAGTAAAACATTCGTTAAACATTAAGTTCGGCCGGGCCGAACTTTTAATATCCTCCCCAAAATACCACCTAAGACAAGTATAAAAGCAGCTAAGTTCGGCCGGGATGAACTTGTAATGCCCTAAACCATTTTGCCGCCGAAGAATGCCACCTAAATGAAAACCTTATTATGGGGGCTATACGAAGATATGGCGCTGGATAAGTAGTTTTTTGTCATAGGCTGTAGTACCGATTCCGAACTTCAAATACGAAATTTTAAAAAAATTTCGTTGAATAATGTCGCTAATATTATCAAATTTGAAACAATTCCGGTTAATAGTGTTGTTAAGATCAACAAAATATGGAATAAAGGGAGGTACCGTTATTTGTGGCCTATACGAGGACGTACATACAATTTTTCGTCAAACGAGCTTCAAACTTTAAATACGAACTTTGAAACAATTAAAACAATTACTGTCAATAATGTCGCTAAAATCATCAAACTACCGAATATCGTAGGGTATATTATATGGGGGTTATACGATTTTGTGGACATTATATAGACCATTCTCTTCCAGGGGATGAAGTACTCAGGAGAAGCTCCTGGTGTAGAATTTCAAAAAATTCCATTGAAAAATGTGGCTAAAATCATCAAAGTACCGAATATAGGGAGGTACCGTTTAATGGAGGATATGCGATATCGTGGACCTATATAGGCAATTTTCTTTCAAGAGGTAAAGTAATCTGAGGGAACTCTTATGGTCTTCCATCCAGAGAAGGCTTGAAAGACATCTTTCATCCCATAAAAGAATGAGGTTTTATATCCAGAGAAGAACTGAAACTTAAGACCTGAAGGTGGTTTTTTATCCCATACAAGACCTGATGAAGGTCTTATATTTCATAGAAGGCCTGAATGAGGGTTTCTGTCCCATAGAAGACCTGAAAGGGGTCTTCTTTTCCATAGGAGGCCTGAAAGAGATCTTACTTCCGATAGAAGGCCTGACACAGGTATTCTATACCATAGAAGACCTGAGGAGGTCTTCTATCCCATGGAAGACATGAAGGAGGCCTTCTATTTTTCAGTAGACCCGAATTCATAAAAATACATAAAAAAGACAAAAAGACCTAACATAAGTCTTCTATCCCATAGAAAACTTGAAGGATGTCTATCACATAGAAAACTTGAAGTAGAAGATCTGAAAGAGGTCTTTTACCCACAGAAGACCTATCCAGAGTAGTTCAGACAGAGGTCTCACATCCAGAGAAAGATGTTTGCTATCCTATAAAATACCTGAAAAATGTTTTCTCTACCATAAAAGACCTAAAAGAGATCTTCTAGCTCGACTATTCAGCGAAGATCAAAAGAAGTCATCTATCCAGAGAATGTCTGAATAAAGACCTTACTAATCCCACAGAAGACCTGCTACTTGTCGTCTACACCTAAAAGTCCTCCAAAAGACCCCAAAAGGCTTTCTTTGCTTCCAGCCAAATATAAAGAAATCACACTATCACGCTTGATTTCCATCACGAATAACTTTTTTTCTGGAAAATTCTCACCAAAATGCTTTGGTACGCTTGTAAACAATATAATAAGCTGTCACTGGAATAATTTTAACAGTTGTCGGACGAGTGGTTTAGAAATTACAATAACAATCTGAACTTGGTTGCACTTTTTTTTTATCTCACCCCATATGTATTATGGTGGAGAGTATAAAAATGAATTTCGATATGCTTGTGGTCGATTATAGAAGATTTGAAAATTAAAAATGAAAAGTTTGAACTAAATTTGGCCCAATGTGACACAGGGTCATTGGCATCTGGACGTTTTATTACCTTTTATTACGACTTCATACTACCACGCTTACACTGAGGCGTTTTATGGTTATAATTTTCAGTCATATTTGTTGACGTATGTTTTCATACTCTTTAAGTCAACATAATAATAATAATAATAATAATAATAATAATAATAATAATAATAATAATAATAATAATAATAATAATAATAATAATAATAATAATAATAATAATAATAATAATAATAATAATAATAATGCGGCAGGTTAATGCAAACATAGCCTGATGAAATGTTATTAATTCTTTATTGGTGCAATTTTATTAATTGTTTAATATTTTTAAAAACCAAAAATAATTGAGAATAAAATAACAACCTTACTGCTCCAAATCAAACAAATCGTTTTTCATGTTACCAATACAGCTCTCAATATCTCTCACTCTCTCCCTCTCATTTTGTTTCTCTTTGCAGTAACCGATTCACCGATTAAATTCATAAAACTGCCAGCTCAGGCTCCAGTAATACGTTACAGTCGAATTGAATTGCAAGCAGAGCAACAACCGAAACTACATGAAACGCCGGCCACAGCAACAACAACAACGATAACAACATCCATAACAGATGCGGCAATAGCAAATGAATCTCTAGCTGGTGTGGAAACTAGTGCAGCAACCGATGCACCATCCCCCTTGGAAATGCAAAATGATGATGCATCACCCTATGGTTTGCTTGAGGCAGCCCTAGGTCCATTGATACCACGACAAAATCGTGCAAGCTCGAATAGTTGCCCCCGATCGTGTCCACCCAGTTTAACTGTGGGCGCCGATGCTGTCTGTGGTTCGGATGGTTTAATCTATGCCAATTTGTGTGACATGAAAAAGAAGACCTGTTCCCGTAATGGTGTCATAAAGGTAAAAAGCTCGGGATTTTTGTGTTGATGAAAAGATAATATTTTGATGCGTATGTTTTTACAGGATGTTCGTGATGGTTGTGAGCGGGCCAAAGGATCGGACTGTAAACATCGTTGTCCCAGTGAAAAGGATCCGGTTTGTGGTACCGATGGTCGTACATATTTAAATAGGTGGATATTTCGAATTGATTTCTCAGATATAAATGCTACAGATATTTTACATATGAAAAGCTTGGATAAAAAGATTGGTCAAAATTTCTGTTCCACAAGCCTTTACCTACATTGACATCTTCGGGTATTCTAAAGACGGAAAGTTGTGAACATTACTTCAATAATTAGAAATCCTTCCGCAAGTATTTTGCATGCAGAAGACCTTCTATAGAACGAAGGTTATAGAAGGCATGACTTAATTTAAAAAAATAATACTCTAAGTATAATTGTAGATGTTCCAAAGGTCTTCGATTGGGAGGAGACATTTCACAGATCCGCTAAAGATAAAACACCCTTAGCAGCTCTTTTAAAGATATAAGATCTCATTCCAATAATTAAAGATATTTCACGGGTGTTATACATAAATAAAAAAAAACAACTTTGAATAACCTCCAAAATTTGGAACGAATTAGGAAATTTTCAAAAAATTAAAATCCATTAAAAATTCTGTGAAAATCTTTAAAATGCCGAATATGAGAAAGTCCCGATATATCGAGGGTAAACGATATTGTGGACCCATGTAGACAAGTCTATTTCTGGGGGTAAAGTACTCACAAGGAACTCCTTGTGAAGAATTTTAGACAATTCCGCTGGCTAATGTGGCTAAAATCATTAAAATATCGAATATCTGAAGGTACCGTTGTATGGTGGCTATACGACATCGTGAACCTATACAGACCATTCTCTTTCAGGGGGTAAGGTATTCACATTGAACTCTTTTTGTAGAATTTCAGACAATTCCGTTGAAAAATAAGGCTAAAATTATCAAAATACCGAATATCGGGGGTACCGTTATATGGGGGCTATACAATATCGTGGACCTATATAGACAATTCTCAGGGGGTAAAGTACTCACAAAGAACTCCTTGTGTAGATTTTCAGACAATTCCGGTGAATAATGTCACTAAAATCATCAAAATACCGAATATCGACAGGTGTCGTTATATGAGGGCTATACGCTGCAGTATCCATTACAAGCTTCAAATGCCAAATTTGAAACAATTCCGGTGAATAGTATCGCTAAAATTATCAAAATACCGAAAATAGGTATCATTATATGGGGGCTATACGAAGACGTGGACCTGCACAGACAATTTTATGTCTTAGGTTGTAGTATCCATTACGAACTTCAAATACTAAATTTGAAACAATTCCGATGAATAATGTCGCTAATATCATCAAAATACCGAATATCGGGAGGTACCGGTATATGGGGGCTATACGAAGGCGTGAATGGACAATTTTCGGTCATAGGCTGTAGTATCAATTACGAATTCCAAATACCAAATTTTGAAACGTTTTCGGCGAATAATGTCGCTAAAATCACCAAAATACCGAAAATAGGAAGATACAATTACATGGGGGCTATACCAAAACGTGAACCTACATGGCCCATTTTCAATACCAAAAGTCCTGCAGAGATAATATACATTTGAGTCAAATTTTATCAACCTACTTCATTTCGTTCGGAAGCTAGAGTAATTTCCAGAGGCGGACAGACAGACGGACGAGCATCTCTAAATCGACATAGAATTTTATGCTGATCAAGAATGTATATACGTTGTGGGGTCTAAAATGTATACTTCGAGGTGTTACAAACGGAATGGCAAACTTATTATCCTCCAATTATGGTGGAGGGTATAAAAACAATCCACAGGTTTTCCAGAGATAGTAGAACTTCCACAGATATTTTAAATATAGAAGACCACAGATCTGTGGATAGATCTATTACATTACTTTTATAGTATAAACACATTCCTTCAACAGGTCTCCAAAAATTGACATTATTCTCTTGGGATAGAAGGCCGTAAAATGGTCTTTAAACGAAAGCCTTCTGAGATGGAATACTGTCCTTCTGAGATGGAATACTTTCCGCAGGTTTTTTTAAAGACAGAAGATCTTCCAAGTCTTCTGTACAAAGAATGCCTTCCGCAGTTCTTCTACATGTTGAAGACATTCAGCAGGGCTTTAAAAGAAAGCAGACCTTTCACACATCTTCAATAGATAAAAGGCCTTTAGTAGGTTTTTTTAAATTATAGAAGCCGGTTCTTCTAAGGATGTAAAAACTTCTAGAGATAGAAGACCATCCACAACTCTTTTACAGTTAAAAATGTTTTCACGTGTCTTCCTTTTGTTGGAAGACCTTACATGTGCCTTTAAAATAAGCAAGACCTTCCAAACGTCTTCTATTGAGTATTTTTATTTCTACAGAGAGAAATAGACCTTCCCTGGGTTTTTTATTTAAATAATAACTTCTTAAGCCATTTGAGAATATTTAAGTATTCCTATAATTAAAATACCTTCCTAAAGTCTTCTATTCATATTCCAATAACAACAAAGTGCTCCATTGGTTTATTTTTGATGCACATAAACTTTTAACCCTATAATGTTGGTGCTATGTACGATATTTTTCAGTTCAGCCTAAAAGTATGCAACATTAAATGATGATCACTTAAGTAAGTGATTAAAGTATTTGCCCGTTTAGACTTGGGTGTCAATTTTAAAGTAGAAAAAATAGTATTCTGCTAAAAATCGTGAGCAGTCTCAAGGTGGCAGTGATTGTTGCTTCTAATTATTGACAATGGGATTACATTTTGGGGGATTAAATTAAAATCTTAGAGTTTGTCTCTGTAAAATGTATCAATTGGCTCATTAAAGAGAAATGACTTGGGCTATATAAATTGAAAACAAAACCTATTATTACCTACAAGTTCTTTATCTATAAACTATCTTTAAAAGATCTACAGAAGGTCTTTCATCTTTGAAAGCCTTATGAAGCGTCTTCTATTTTTTCAAATATTTTTGCAATTTTCAGATAGTAAATATTGGAATTAATTAATTGGAAATGACTCGGGCTATATAAATTGAAAACAAAACCAAATATTACTTACAAGCCCTTTATATATAAAATATCTTTAAAATATCTACAGAAGGTCTTTCATCTTTGGAAGCCTTATGAAGCGTCTTCTGGGGTTTTCAAATATTTTTGCAATTTACAGATAGTAAATCTTGAAATTAATTTCATTACCTTTAAAATGTTCTGTATTCCCTTCTTTATAGATGTATGCTCCGCGTACAAGCCTGTCGTGTTGGTATGGCAGCGGTTAAGATGGCTCATGTTGGCCCCTGCAGTAATACCAGTGCTATTCGTGAATCTTGCCCGGTGGACTGTAATCAATCGCCCAAAGATGGACCGATATGTGCTTCAGATGGTAACGTTTATAATTCCACATGTGAAATGAAGCTGCTGACTTGCGGCCAGGGTGTGGTGAAAACTAGTCGCAAACACTGCCAATCGACAAGAATGTGTCGTGAATCGTGTTGGCGTGTTGCCCGTCCCACTTGTGGTTCAGATGGTCGGTTGTATGCCAGCCCCTGTAAAATGCGTTCATCCAATTGTGGGAAGCATATATTCGAGGTGCCACTCTCCTTTTGTATGCCCCAGGAACGTCACGGCAATCCGGTAGAAAATTGTCCAACGGAATGTCCCGAAAGTGATAGCTCAGCATATGTATGTGGCAGTGATGGTAATATCTATTCATCGTTGTGTGAATTGAAAATGTTGAATTGTGGGTAAGTTCAGGGATTTTTGAATTTTGTATTTTGAAATATTCAATTTTATATTGATTTGATTTTTTTTGTTTAGGCCCCAACGTAAATCCATACAGAAAATGAGCATGGACAAGTGTAAAAACCGTTTGACCAGATGCAAACAATTGCCACCCTGTAAAGATTTCAATAATTTATATGGCTCAATATTTAGCTCCAAGAGAAGTGATAAACTTTGTGGAACAGATGCCAAGACATACAACAATGAATGTGAATTGGCACATGCCACTTGCCTGTAAGGAAAACACAGTATTTGTTATTACCTTGAAATGTTTCAAACTTATTTTGCAACTTATTTTACAGGAGAGGTGTGAATTTGGCCCACGTTGGACCTTGTACCGACTTGAAAGCTCCCATTAAGGATTGTGGGGAACGTTGCACCCGCCAGGATCTTGAAAGTGGCCCCATTTGTGGCTCAGACGGCAATACCTATGCATCGTTGTGCGAATTCAAGCGACGAACCTGCCATTTGCGTGTTGTGCCAGTCTCTTTGAAAAACTGTCCCCTCACCGCCGACTGTGATACAGATTGTGATGCTCAGCCACCAAATTTTGTCTGTGGTTCTGATAATAAATTCTACAAATCCGAATGTCATATGCGCAAAGAGAATTGTGGCAAACATGTGTTTGTGGTACCGCTGAAACGCTGCCTCAGCAATGTCCAGTTCAAGGGTTGTGCCAAAATTTGTCCACCCGACTTTGAGCCCATCTGTGGCAGTGACAATATGACCTATTCCAATGAGTGCTTTTTGGAAATGGAAAACTGTCGTAGTAACAATACCATAACGATACAGCATTATGGTGCATGTGGACGGCCAGAGGCACCCTCAAATAATTTTCTATACTAGAAGAAGAGAAGTTGGAAGAAAATAATATTTATAGGAAAAGAAGCTAAACAAAAAAAAAGAAAAATAAAATTAAAAAGAAATTAAAACTTAATGTAGTAGCAACAATAATAAGCCGTTATTAGGGCTTATTACAAAAATATATTTTAAATATATTTATGAAATTATTTATTTATTTTTTTTTTAGTTAATAACTGTTATACTTTAAGAACACACTTTTTTATAACTAACTTTATATAAATAAAATAAAAAGACAAATGATTTGTAAAATACGGGCGTACAATACTGCATTACTAGGCGGAATCATCGAATAGTTTGTTGAGACAAGCTTTGATTTCATGTGGTTTGTATTTAACATATTTTTCCGGGTTCTTACTGAAGTGCACACCGGCATACCTGTAAGAAAGAGAAGGAATTTATTTATAATTTAAAAACGTATGAAAATAATCAATGTTTGTTGGACTTTATAGAATGAAACCTATATGTCTTTTAGAAAATGGACGTCTTCTAGAAGACCTATGGAATATAACCTATATGTATATCCCCAGGCTTGAGTTATGATTATCAAAACCAATACGTATCTGACCTAAGACTGATATAAATATTACAACGTGCCAGGTTTAGACTACTTCGACTTTCTCCTATACAAATGAATTGAAAATTGTGACCCTTTGTGGGTGAGGTACCAAAAGGGGTTCGCAGTTATATACCACCTTCAAAACAGATCTTGTGTTAACAAAAATGCTTGCATGTGTGAAATTTGAAGAGAGTTGGATGCTTATTTCGCATTCTTTGAGCGTTTTGTTTTCAGAAATCTTGAACCCTATATGAGGGAGGTACCAGAGGAAATTGTCCGATCTGTACCATCTTTATAACAGATCTTGTGTTGACGGAGGTATTGAGTTGTACCAAATATGAATGGAATCGGATGCTAATTTCGCGTGTTTTGAGTTTTATGAATATAAAAAATGTTCACCCTTTGTGGGGGAGGTACCAAAAGGAGTGGACCGATATATCCCAATTTCACAGCAGATCTTGGGTTGATAAAAATATTTTGATGTGTGTAATTTGAATAGAGAACCGGATGCTTATTTCGGATTTTATGATCGTTTCGACGATTCAAAATTTTGAATCTTTGTGGGAGAGGTACCAGAAGAAATTGTCCGATCTCTACCATCTTTATAACAGATCTTGTGTTGACGGAGGTATTGAGATGTACCAAGTCTGAATGTAATCGGATGGTAATTTCGCCTTTTTTGAGCTTTATGAATATTGAAATTTTTGACCATTTGTGGGGGAGGTACCAGAAGGAGTGGACCGATATATCCCATCTTCACAGCAGATCTTGGCTTAACAAAAATATTGTGATGTGTGTAATTTAAAGAAAACCGGATGCTTATTCCGGATTTAAGAATCGTTTTGTTTCTTCAAAACTTTGTAGGGGTGGTACCAGAAGGAATGGTCCGATCTCTACCATCTTTATAAGAGATCTTGTGTTGACGGAAGTATTAAGATGTACCAAGGCTGAATGGAATCGGATGCTAATTTCGCGTGTTATGAACTTCATGGATACTCAAAATTTTGACCCTTTGTGGGGGAGGTACCAGAAGGAGTGGGCCGATATATCCCATCTTCACAGCAGATCTTGGGTTGATAAAAATATTTTGATGTGTGTGATTTGAAGAGAACCGGATGTTTATTTCGGATTTGATGATCATTTTAGTTATTAACAACTTTGACCCTTTGTGGGGGAGGTGCCAAAACGAATGGTCCGATCTCCAACATCATTATTACAGATCTGGTGCTGATGAAAATATTAAGATGTACCAAGTCTCAATGGAATCGGATGCTAATTTCCCGTTTTATGAACTTCATGGATATTCAAAATTTTGACCCTTTTGTGGGGAAGGTACCAGAAGGAGTGAACCAATGTACTTCATCTTCGCACCAGACCTTGGGTTAATAAAAATATTGAGATGTGTGTAATTTAAAGATAATCGGACACTTATATCACATTTTATAAAAGTTATAATTATTCAAAATTTTGACCCTTTGTGGGGGAAGTACTGGATGCAGTGGACCGATATTGTTCATTTTTGCACCTGACCTAGCACTGATGCAAATATTAGGATTTGCAAAGTTGGAGCAAAATCGGATTATCCTTTCTCTGTTTGTGCAGTAAATTATTTTCTCTGGAAATTTCGAACTTTTGCGTGGAAGGCATGAGAAGGAGTGTCCCGATATTGCCCATCTCCGAACTCGATCTAAGTTTAACAATAATATTACGATGTACCAAGTTTGGATCAAATAGGATACTCTCTTCGAGAGACAGATGGACGGACGGACATCGCTAGATCGACTCCAAATGTCCCAACTTATTAACACAATAACCTGTACTGCAGTCTATGGCAGGATTAATAAATGTAAATGGAAATCTCGAAATAAATTCCCATGGAGTTAGGCCTTAACTTACATATTAAAGAATTCATTGTATTTTGGTAAAATATGTTCCTCATTATCCCGTTTAATGCCCTGGCGCAGCATGACATCCGGTATTGAAATTCCTCTTTGGATTTTACATGCCTCCTCAAAGTCCTTGTTAAAAGCCTGCAATGAAATGAATGTAGATAAGAGACGTAAATTAGATCCCCCAATAAAATATGGCTATGAAATTTCTCACCAAAAACTTCTCCTTCAGGATGCTACGATCCTTGTCCTTAATTTTGCCCTGTATTGGTTTTGGTAGCTCATCCAAGGGTGAAATGTTTGACAACATTTTCGACCATGTCTTTTGATATGAGAACTTCAGCTCTTTAATAGTTTCGATATAGCTATTGCGACAATCGGGTTCAGCAATTGTTACAATATCAATTAGATTTGAGGTAATTAAAGAGTTCAGAATATAATTAATATTGTTCAGACGGAATAAATGTTTGGTGGCCTGATCATTGTATTGTTCACACTTGTTCATTATCGATAAGTTCAATTCGGCCAAGGCTTTTTCTGTAAGAAAAGAAAAGCAAAGCTCATAGAAAATTGCTCTCAAATCAATCCATCTTCAACTTACTTATGTATATGGCCAACAAAGCCTTATTGTGCTCTTCTTCTGGTAATTGTTTTTTAATAAGTATGGAATCCAACTGCGTAGAGTACAATACATCAGGCTGTAGGATTACCCCAATAACATCATAATGATTGAGAAGATTCTCTATAAACCATATTGTATTGGAGGTCAATTCATGAACGGTGGCATCTTTGGGAACATTCACATAACCCAAGGTACTTGAGCTCATGCTCACAATGTTTGTGTTGGAATCGCCGCGCACTACCTCCAGGAAATGTTCCAATGCCTTGGCGCCCTTTTGGTATAAAAATAACAAATAAATCAGAAGGTATTATAAATGAGTTCATTTTTATATATTTACCGTATACTGCAACTTATTCAAGACCTTTGTCAGCTGTTCCCTTTGCTGGACATCATAGGTACGATCAATATCAGGTTGCAAAAGCAAAACATTTTTCAAGGTCTTAAATATCCCCAACGCCGATGTCCATTCCTTGCGTGATATGCTACGCATGATACGATTTGTAATGGCCTCCACATCTTTCACGACCATATCAATCGATTTATTTGCCAATTTGGCAAATACCTCCGATTGATGTTTAAAGGGTATTATCTCCTGCATTAGAGCTCTTTCCCAGTTCAAAAGTCGCTGTAGACCCAAAAGCATAACTAAATATTTATCCAATTCTTGATCGCCATCGGCATACTCCTCCGAGGACAAATGTTCCGAGTGTGATGTGGCTTTTTTAATGGAAATACCAGTGCTGTTGAGAGTCTGTGTCGCTTTCAAATACAACTTATTTGCTTTGCGTTCGAAACTGAAATAGAGGAAGGGATATTTTAAGGTTTCTTTATTTATATTATTTTTACACTCACATTTGTTGTAACCGCATTGAGGGACTCTTCTTAGTGTCCTGACGACCGGCAGAATGACGAGATTTCTAAAAGGTAAAAAGCAAATCTCAAAAATGTAAACATTAAAGACCTAATTTGAGGAAATATTTAAAATTTAAAATTTAATACGCCATGAAGAACTGCTTGAGTTTTAGAGAGAAGAGATATAAATTATCTCAGCCGCAGAGTTTTTAAGGGTTTCTGCTCATAAAAGGGCTTTCATTTAAATTTTAATATGCCATAAAAACTGCATGAGTTTTAGAGGTTTTGAATTCATAGAAGAGTCATAAATTATATCAGCAGCAGAGTTTTTAGAGGTTTCTACTCATAAAAGGCTTTTATAGGTCATCTTCCTATATAGAAATTATTCGAGGTCTCCTATATTTAGAAAAGCTTCCAGATATCATCTATTTATAGAATAACTTCCAAAGGCCTTCTAATTATAAAAGAGCTTTCCAGGGACCTAAATTTGCAGAAAGACTTTTAATTTTTACAAAAGGTCGATATGAGAAGTTGAGTTTTTCGAGTTTTTGTGTACATGGAAGAGTTAAAAATACGTTTATAGCAAAGTTTTCATAGGATTTCTACATATAGCAGAGCTTTTCAATGTCTTCTACGTTTTGAAGAGCGTCCAGAGGTCTTCTATTTTTAGAAGAGACTCAGGAGTTCTTGTATTTTTATACCCTCAGTCATATGGTTAGAGAGGGTATATATCATTTGATATGGTCAAAACGTGTTTCATCGAAATAAGTTTTAAAAGCCTAGGTCTCTTTGGACTAAATCCATTTCAGGACATTTGGAGTCGATCTAGCTATGTCCGTCTGTCCGTAGGTCTGGCTGGTGCAAACGATAACTGCCGAATGAAGTATCCGATTTGATCCAAACTTGCTACATCGTAATATTATTGTCAAACACAGATCAAGTTCGGAGATGGGAAATATCGGTCCACTCCTTTTGGTACCTCCCACACAAAATGCCAACATTTTCAAAGAAAATAAGTTACTGCACAGAAAGAGAAAGGATAATCCTATTTTGCTTCAACTTTACGAATCGTAATATATGCATAAGTGCTATGGCAGGTGCGAAAATGGATAATATCTGTCCACTGATCAAGTGCCTCCCCCACAAAGGTTCAAAATTTTCAATAATTATAAATCTGATAAAATGTGATGTAAGCGCCCGATTGTCTTCAAATTACACATATCACAATATATTTATTAACCCAAGGTTTCGTGTGAAGATGGAATATATCGGCCCACTCCTTCTGGTACCTGCCCCACAAAGAGTCAAAATTTTGAATATCCATGAAGAAATTAATATGCGATTCCATTCAGACCTAGCACATCTCAATATTTCCATCAACACAAGATTTTTTATAATGGTAGCATAGATCAGGCCATTCCTTCTGGTACCTCTCCCACAAGGGGTTAACATTTTGAATTACCAAAACGATTATAAAATTCGAAATAAGCATCCGGTTCTCTTCAAATTACACACATCACAATATTTTTATTAACCCAGGGTCTGGTGTGAAGTTGGAATATATCGGTCCACTCCTTCTGGTACCTCCCCCACAAAAGCGGCAACATTTTGAATATCCATGAGGCTTATAAAACGCGAAAATAACGTCCGATTCCATTCAGACTTAGTACATCTTAATATTTCCATTAACACAATATATGTTTTAAAGATGGTAGAGATCGCACCATTTCTTCTTGTTCCTCCCCCACAAAGGGCCAACATTTTGAATAATTATAACTCTTATAAAATGTGATGTAAGTGTCCGCTTGTCTTCAAATTACTCACATCGCAATATTTTTATTAACCCAAGGTCAGGTGAGGAGAAGGAATATATCGGTCCACTCCTTCTGGTACCTCCCTCACAAAGGGTAAAAATTGTGAATTTCCATGAAGCTCATGCAACACGAAATTAACATCCGATTCCATTCAGATTTGGCACATCTGAATATTTCCATCAACACAAGATCTGTTATAATCGTGGTACAGATCGGACTATTCCTTCTGGTACCTCTCCCACAAGGGGTTAACATTTTGACTTACCAATACGATTATAAAATCCGAAATAACTATTCGGTTCTCTTCAAATTACACACATCACAATATTTTTATGAGAACAAGGTCTGGTGTGAAGATGGAATACATCGGTCCACTCCTTATGGTTCCTCCCCCACAGGGGGTCAACATTTTGAATTTCCATAAAGCTCATAAAACGTGAAATTAATATTCGATTCCATTCAGACTTGGCATATCTCAATATTTCTATCAACACCATTTAATGGTGGTATAGATCGGACCATTCCTTCTGGTACCTCCCCTACAAAGTGTCAAAGCTTTGAATAACCAAAACGATTATAAAATCCGAAATAAGCATCCGGTTCTCTTCAAATTACACACATCACAATATTTTGATTAACACAAGGTCTTGTGTGAAGGTGGGATATATAGGTCCACTCCATCTAGTACCTCCCCCACAAAGATTCAACATATTAAATATCAATGAAGCTCATAAAACGTGAAATTAATATCAGATTTCATTCAGACTTGGCACATCTCAATATTGCCATCAACACAAGATCTGTTAAAAAGATGGTAGGGATCGGACCATTCCTTCTGGTACCTCCCCCACAAAGGGTCAAAGTTTTGAATAACCTAAACGATTATATAATCCGAAATAAGCATTCGGTTCTCTTCAAATTACACACATCACAATATTTTTATTAACCCAAGATCTAGTGGGAAGATGGAAAATGTCGGTTCACTCCTTCTGGTACCTCCCCCACAAAGGGTACAAATTTTGAATATTCATGAAGCTCATAAAACGCGAGATTAACATCCGATTCCATTCAGAGTTGATATATCTAAATATTTCCATCAATACAAGATCTGTTATAAAGATGATAGGGTTCGGAAAATTCCTTCTGGTACCTCCCCCACATATGGTTCAAGATTTTTGAAAAACAAAACGCAGAAAGAAAGCGATTTCACACATCTAAAAATTTTAACCAACGCATGTGTCTGCCAACGCCTTCTGGTACCTCTCCCACAAAGCGTCACAATTTCCAATACTTATATCTGCCATAACTTGCGAAAAAGTCGGCGACTCTTTAAAACTTGCTATATCTAAATATTTGTTTTAACCAGAAATCGGATATGAATATGTAATTAATCGAAATTTATGATTTCGCATAAAATTGGATATAAATGTTCGAATTCCTTCAAATTTTGGACATAACAATGTTTTTATCTGTATTAGATGAAGTATGAAAACAGAATACTTCGGTCCGCTATATCTGTTACCTTACGCATGTTTCCACATTTTCCAAAAATTTGCACAAATCGCATATTAAGTCCAAATCTGGCACATTGTAATATTTTCATCAGTCTTAGGTTAGATGCGAATTGATCAATATTGTCAAACTACTACGGAACCTCCCCCATAAAGGGTCAACTGTTTGAATAATCATAACTCAAGGCTGGCGGTATAAATCTGTCGGCAAAAATACCGACTGATACTATTTTACTTGTTAAAAACTATTTGAAATATCCAAAGGGTTTCCAAAGGTATTGAAGGGTATTCAACGATCTTCTATCTATAGAAGAGGTTTTATGGATTTAGTTTGAAAACTTATGAACCTTAGCCTAACTCTACTTCCATGAAATTCATTCTTTAAAACTATGAATACCTTATCTCTGTATGGAATCTAGGAGACAACACCTAAACCCAGACGCATTTGATCGAAACTTAAAACTTAATTTCCCACTGTAATACGGAAGCACATAAAGGTGGGAATACATAAAGCGCTTTTTTTGGCTGGCTTAAGTCATAGGCTGGATTCTTCGAAAATGAACAAAGGAGCCTAGGGCCAAAACGAAGAAGCCAGCCGATGACTTAAGCCAGTCAAATAAGCACTTTTTGTATTCCCACCTTAACTTCCATTGGGAATAAAAAATAAAATACACCTCTCATTTTTTATGTTAATAACACAATAAAATAAATAAAATTTTATTTTTAATAAAAAGAAAACTGAAATGACAATTGAAGCAAATTAAGAAAAAAAAAATCACGGGGACAACAATGAAACGAAATCAAAAACACACACATATACGCCTCCAAAACGCCATCTTATTTTCTTAGCTTGAATAGAAATTATCAAACATTTCCATAATGCGTTTACAATCATCGGATTTTATGCCGATGCCCTTGAGATCTGTAGTTTTAATATTCATCAAGTTATTGCAATCAATGCCGGCTTTTTCAAACTTCTCACAGTAACGTTCCAGACCCAAAGTTTTCAATAGCAAATTTATGGTTAGAGTGTGGTTGAGTATGGATGCATTGCTTTCATTGCCCATTGAATCTCCATTGCTGCTGTTTAAGCTATTCAGCGAGGGTGAGGGTGACAGCGATGATTTGGAAAAGTTTGATGCACCCACAAACGATGGACAGGGGCTGAGATAACGATTTGCATTGCTATCGCCAAATTTGGGCGATGGTGTGTAGGAGGTAACCACGGGTTTGGGCATCAGCGAAGGCTTCTTGAACTCCTTAAACGATGAACTGTGATGCGTTGTAACGGGACTTGACAATGAGTTGGCCAATTTGAATATGGGTGATATACCCGGTGAACGCACCTCCGTATGAATGGGCGTATAGGTACGCATATTAGCCATTATATTGTGCACATCTTGATAGTATGATGTTGTGGTATTGTTAATCATGGTTGGAGTCACATTGAAAATAAACTCTCTAGGAGCCGCTAAAGTCGGTGTACAACATTCCTCCATGATCTGTTGTTTGAGTGATCTTAACTGGTTTTAAATTCTGTCAGTTTCCAAAATATTAACAATTCGATATAAACACTTGAGAAACATTTAACAAACTAAACGAGTAATATCAGCAGCGCACGGCTGGCTACTTGAAGAAATGTTATTTGGAAAATACCGTTACAGATTGGAAATGAATGAAAGGCGACGAAAAACAAAACTGATAATATTTCCATATTGAGTGAAAAGCAGCAAAGAAGAAATGAAGGATTGATTACTTATTGACAAGTGAGGGTGGCAAATACCTTCGATTCATAATCGGATTTAAAAGAATGATGAAAAAATAGAATGGAAACAGTTATAATGAGAATCATTTCAAAGTTTCATAAAATATTTGGTGGGAGATGGGCAATTGTGGATCGAATTTTGGTATAATGGTCATAATAATATATAATTACTATTGACAGTTAAAGGCAATGTTAGAATTTAGGATTTTTGCAGTGTTTTGACTACATTTTATGTCGAAAAATGCCCTCACACGGTAACGGGGTGAAAATGTAAATCCCTCCACGAAGGTAGGTTCTATGATCGGGAAAGACCCGAATTTTATCCAGCAATTAACTGTCACTTTAGCTCATTATTTAACAACTGTAGCTACCATACAACAACTTAATTGCATTTTGGTTATAGCGCAATGGATTTTGATATGCCTTCAATTCGTGTCATACACAAACATATTTGTCAGATTCAAATTTATATAAAACCCACGATTAAACCCAGTGATATACTTAGTGAGCTGAACAATTAAGACTTTCACCAACTTACCAGCGCTTCATTTCCCCAGCTACTGCTCTTCTGGTGATCTTTCAAATTTTGCAACGATCTAAAGACCACTTCACCCCTCTCCGCTGCATAGATGACAGTGTATTCAAATCTCAGATTCTGTTCCAGCCAATGGGAAATGGTGAATAACTCCACTCTTGTACTTTGTGTCATTTGCCTAAAGGAGGTGTATTCATCATTGGATGAATCATCTTCATTGTAAATGAGATCCAATATATCGACTGGCTTCAGGGGCATTCCATATTTTTTCAACAGAAAACGATAATGATTGTTGAGGCCCTCACAGCCCGTATTAAAGAGGCTTGTGACATTTTCCAACTCAACACTTTGTGAATTATGATGCAAGAAATATTCATTGGCTGAACGCAAACGACCCAAGGCTTCGAGGAAGACACCCACATTACCCTCGGTGGGTCCTTGATGTATTAAACCACAAACCTCTTGGGTGACATCATAGTGGGATAACACAGTCTCCAAACAATTAAGGGTGGCTTCCAAATCTACAAAGCAAAAAGTAAACAAATTAAAAAATCCAACCCACCTTCAATTTAAAATTTTTAACCCACTTTGTTGTCGTTTTTGTAGCTGTTCAGTTTCCTGATAGACAGGTAAAATTGTTTTCTCCAATTTACCCAAACGTTGCTCGAAAACAGTCAATATGCCAGACATCTGATTGGACAAATCATGATACTTTTCCACCCTTTCCCTCAGCAGAACCATGTTTGAGGTCTCCTGTTGAACAAAAACAAGCATAACTCATTAGCAACTGCACAAAAGCAAGCATACAACTGTCAATTACCTTCTCCAACTTAGAATGGACTTGAAGACTTGTGTCCAAATTCATTTTTTAAAGAAATAAATCCTTTGTGGGTGTTATTTTTTCCAAGACAATTGATGATGACGTATTTCAAAGCCTCTTTGGTAAATTAACGGCGTAGAATGAAAGAAAACAAAGTAAATTACCGATGAAAATCCAAAATCAAAACAAACCGACTCAATAAGGGATAACTAAGTAGAAAAACGGAAAATATAGGGTTATAGAAATCGATTGCCGACGAAGAACGCAATTGCATCCCTGTTGACACAAGACTAATTTCAATAAGGGAAACGTAATGAAACTATGAGTTTTTATGAGATAAAGATGACTGAAAAAGTTCATATGGACGCTTTAATGCTGTCTTATTTCAATTATCTTCTTTAATACTTTGTAAGAAACATTAGAGGCAAGCTACAGATCAAGGCATTGATATAAAATTCAAAACAGACTTGGAGAATATAGTTGTTAGTGTGTGATCGATAATCTAGTCTTGTTTATTAACATAATGGTACATAAGCAACGTGAAATCTTTGCATCACATATTTTGTGACACATTATAAGAGATTTCAGTGCCGCACTCGGATCCTGAGTCTCAATTCTTGTTCTATGAAAATGTGAAATGAAAACTTTCATAAAGGAAAGAAATGTCAAATGAAAAATTTTATAAAGGAAATATTTTTCATTTCATATTTTCATAGAACAAGAATGCAGCCACGGGCATCATTTCACCCTTATAATTTAACATTAATATGTCTAGCTATGATGCCAGACTGTTAAAGTGTATGTAATAGAAACTGAGGAAATTTTTTTCAATCTCTCTCAAAAATTTGTATATCATTCAATGAGAAAAACTCTATCTGACATATTATTTTCCAATGAATGAAAAAGGTAGTAGTAATGACCCATTAGGAACGGCCAATAATTGTTGTTCTGATTCAGAACATGCAATAGTTTTGCAATTTTTTCGATATCAAAAAGGAAGGATCGGCTGTTTAGCAGTTCTAGAACCGAGCATGTATGAAGAGAAACAATTTCAAATGAAACTGTTCATCTGGCTTTGGCAAGCAAGAAAAAAACTAGAAAAGAAAAAAAAAGCTGAAGATCTATAATGTATACACTTCTTTACTTTATGCATATTGACGGACCGTTTTTTGATAAGGTTGGTCTTTGTTATACACATTCATGGTAGTCGTTACCCATTTATAATTTTCTAAAAATGTAATTAAGACATTAATAGCGCAATAAATCAACATTTAATGTTTAAATTTCTAATATTCTATCTAATTTTTAATCATTTATACGTACATTAATATTAACAAACAAGACATTATTCAAAACAAGCGATAAATAAAAGAAAAGCAATAAGTAATTGGTATTGGGTTACTGAGTAACTGCCGAACTAATTTGGCTTTTCGTTTTCCTAGCCAACTCTCATTCGTGTTTCTGATCTCATAGTGAAAAGAAGTGAATTATACAAGTGAACAAGTTAGAGCAAGATACATAATATCTAGCACCAAGAAGTAAATATATCGGTAAATTCAATTTAATTAGAAATCAGCACACAGAATTATATTAAAATGTAAGTATTGAGAATAAAAATTGATGGTTTAAATGTTATTTCATAACAACAACAGAAATTAACAAAAAATTCAAATGAGGTCTGCTAGAAAAAATTTTCCTGTATACTATAAAAATGAAATACAAAATGGCTGCCTTGAAAAAAATCAATACAGCGCATATCTATAGAAGTGAAAACTGCATTTTGTAGAAAAAATTAATCCCTTCCGCTTTGAAGATCTAATTTTCCATAATTTGGAAAATCATATCTATATTTTTGAATACCCTTGTTGTATAATGTACTTTTAAATCGATTCATTTTGTAAATTTCCCTTCTTTCTTAACACCCCGCAGACAGAGGGCGAAGCCGATGTGAAATTCTCGGCGGCGGCGGCTAATCATAAAAAAGTCGGCGGCGGCTAAAAGTCGACTGCAGCCGAAAGAAAATCGGCGGCGGCGGCTAAAGCAATATACGGCCGGCGGCGGCTAAAAGTCGGCTACAGCCGACGACTTATCGTTAACAAATAATTTCGGTTGTTTTAATAACTGTCAATTCATTTAATTTAAAATAAAAATGAAAATATAAGTTTATATGCACATTTGTTGCTTATAGCACATTAAAAATTATAATAAAAATACTTTAATTTGATAAAAATGGTTCGACGACTGCCTTGTTATCATGAACAAACAATTGTTACTTTACTGTTGCCGGATGCAGGCTGCTTCTCTTTGCATTTACACAATTCCCGGCATATGTAAATGCTTGCTCTGAAGATGCTGATGTGGCTGGAATTCCAAAGCACATATTTGCTACAGTAGCAACTTTTGGAAAGATCTATAAAAAGTAAATGGTCAAAACGTAACATGCTTAAAACAAGTTTAAGATGTGAATCTTTAACGTACTTGTTTGTTCTGTCGCCAACAATCTAGAGGCTCAACCGCCTCGACTTTCATTTCCAAATATTTTCTTATTTCTAACTCTACGTTATTTTGTACATTAGAAGGCGATGGTCCCATAAATTCCAACATTCTTTAACGACAATAGCTGATATTTTCTGCAAGTAAAATATACGTCAGTTAAGTTTACCTTTACATTTATTAAAACATAATACCTGTTTTTTTTTGCATTTGGTTCAGTGCTCGTTGAAGGCTCATTTAATAATGTGTCATCGATTTCCTTTAATTTTTCAATTTCTTCCATAATCAAGTTCTCCTTGGAAATTGGAGACAGAACATCATGCACAAGTTCCAAGGAGTTTGGCGATTGTTTGGGTATCTTTAGTATATATTTATCTAAAACAGGCCAGTTTTTTTTTGGCATGGGTCCATAAGCGCAGCTACAACATACATTCTATATACTTTCAATCGCTTCGTAAAGTTTTGCACAGCGAAATTGCATAAATTGATTGTTAGTTCAAAAGACGCTTTTTCTTCTTCTTTCTTCAATGAGGACATAATGGATTCCTGAAAATAAATACACGAAGATATCGTCGGATAATCTTGGCCTTGAAGGTGTTTTGTGGCGTCCTCAAAAATTTTTAAAATCGTGCCAAATTCCGTTATAATTTGCTTTTCCATTGTCCCAATCACTAACAGTTCCTTTTTAGCTTTAACTAATGCTACATTTATAGTGGATATATTATTCGTATAGCTTTGAATCATTGCAAGCAGAGAGTTCCAACGTGTTGCAACGGAATTTTTCAAAAAGGTGTGGTGCTTGACGTTTAAAGTTGCTTCAAATTGTTCAGTAAAATAGTCATCTCCATGTGAAAATTGTTCGCAACTATCCAAACTCTCCAAAATTATTTCAACCTCTGTAAATATTTTTACTAAATCGTTTTGTTCCTCCATATTTTGAATATTTGATATTTCTTCATAGCTATACATTAAGCTGCCATAATTTTTTTTTTAATTTTGATATTATGTTATTAATATTTTCAAATGACTTGTTGTTTAGTATATCATCCATCAAAAACCTGTGTAAAACATGAGCCATACAGCCATATCTTGGTATATTTTTAATTTTTAAAGCTGAAACGATGTTGCTTCCACCATCAGTAACAGCACATATGTTTTTTCCAACAGATTAAATTCACATAACGCTTCTTCAATTTTTTCTACAACTGCTAGTCCAGTGTGAGGTCGTGGAAAGATCTCTGTCTTGAGCGTTACAATTTGCATTTGAAAATTTTGGCAGAAATGCACTTTTATGTTTATGTAAGACAAGTGCTTATGTTTATCTGACCACATATCCAATACAAGTGTAACATTTTTGGGCGACTCTTTAAGGCTTGTTTTTACGTGGTCCAAATATATGTGCTACCTCAACTTGTTGAGGATTTCAATGAATTTTGTGTCATTGTTGAACTTTTCATGTTATTTAAAGATTTCACGTCCAAGTTATGTACAGCTCGTAGATGGTTCATATAATTTGTGGTTGATGTTGATTTTCCAAAACTAAAATCATAAACAATTACACACATGCGAATGAAAAAAATAGAAATTCTTACCTTTTTAAATTGGTCTTTTCATCCAAACACAATTTGCAAAATTTATATTTTTGAAGTATATGCCTCTTTTTAAAATAGAGATCACCAAAATATTTCCAACATATTGATATACCACCTTCATTTACAACAACCTTTGCCAAATTTTTAAATTCATTTTTCTTTTTAAAAAGATCTTCATATTGAGATACATCTGCATATGGAGAAATATTGATTTCAGTATCAACAGATTCGTCTGAATCGGATTCTGATTTAGTCAAAACTGTTTGACCCTTTCGGTTAGCGGAAAAATAATTTTTAATATTCCTTTGGCACATTTTGCATTTTTTTCTTTGAACAAGCAAAAACACAACGAATCTTTGGCAAACAATATGGTTGCCACTCCATCAAAATTCGTAAGTTACAAAAGGTTGCCAAAGGTTTTGTGATAAAAAAAACAAATCTACAAAGACATAATACCCTTACCACTATGTGGTGTAGGGTATAATTATTATATATAGCCTACACGTTTTTGCCTCTCGAAGACGAGTGCGCAATGTAAATTATCGTCCAATAATGAGCATTATAATATGTTAATTTATTTATTTTAATTTTTTATATTTTTCAACGGCTTAGCCGACTCAGTCGGCTAAAAATTTGAGCCGATGAGAGCCGCATACATCAGCGGCGGCTCAGATCACTTAAAAAAGGTAGGCGGCGGCTGCACGCCGACTGCGAGCCGATCGGCTTCGTGCTCTGCCCGCAGACCCTCGGGAATGACCTTTTTATGTATTTTGTTAGTGTGTGTGTGTGTGCTATAGCTTTGCAGTGGAAAATTTTTGTTTCCAAGCCAATGATTTCGGTATACAGCCATTTTGTTTTCAATAGGGTGGTCACACGAAATGATTTGCATTTCTATCTTCTTTACCAAAAGTTTGTACACGATTATATTGCTAGGTTTTTTAATTAAAAAAATCTTTTTCAATTCGAAAATCCCTATGATTTGTATGTATCCGGTAAAATTATACATGTTAACAATATGTTTTATTTGAACATTTCTTTTGCATACATTCCCTTTCGCTTAAGCACAATTTGGTGTTTAATTAAAAAACATAGTCTAAAGTAGCATATTTTTATTAGAGTTGATTGCATTTAATTTGATCGATTTCCATACAAGGCTTTTATATAAACTATATAATAAAATACATGGACGAGAAACATGACGTATTTTCTCTCATTTTCTGTATTCGCTGAGAGACAAGAGAAATACGTACAACTAAAGTTTCATGCAATGTGAGCCATCATTATATTAATACTATGTATGTATTCAGTGCATTGTGTGAGTCACTCAAAGTTGCAATGTTGCGTATGTTCAGTGCAGACAAAATTAACTAGAGCAAAATAATTTGTATTTGTGTAGAAGAAATTGCATTATATTTTTTAAATCATATCTAATGTTTTTTATTTCAATTTCTATCCCCTAGGTTTGAGAATCGTGGTAGTGATAATCGCTCAAATATGTCAATGAACCGTGGTGGCGGTGGTGGTTTCCGTGACCAGCAAAATCGTCCAGGTGGCCCAGGGCCCATGCGCCATGGTGGTCCCGGTGGGATGCAACACAAACGACCAACACCCTACGGTCGTCCTCAACAGCCCAATCAATACAACAATGATCGTCGTCCCTATGACAACAAATCCAATTCTCCTGGTCGTGTTAATGGCGACAACTTACCCAACATTGTTTGGTCCGAATTGAAACTAACACCAATTGAAAAGAATTTCTACAAACCATGCGATGCTGTAGCAGCTCGTCCTCAAGAGGAAGTTGATGGATTTTTATCACTCAATTCCATTACCTTGAAGGGATCAAGCATTCCCACACCAAGCATGGAATTTACGGAGGGTGGTTTCCCCGACTATGTCATGGATAGCATCAAACGTTTGGGTTTCTCTAAGCCCACTGCAATTCAAGCTCAAGGTTGGCCAATCGCACTTAGTGGGAGAGACATGGTGGGTGTGGCTCAAACCGGCTCGGGTAAAACGTTAGCATACATCTTACCAGCCGTGGTTCATATTAACAATCAACCACGCTTGGAACATGGCGACGGCCCGATCGCTTTGATCCTGGCACCCACACGTGAACTAGCTCAGCAAATCCAGCAAGTTGCAAACGATTTCGGCTCTCAGACTCAAGTACGCAATACCTGCATTTTTGGAGGCGCTCCTAAACACTATCAATCACGTGACCTGGAGCGGGGAGTTGAAATCGTTATTGCGACTCCTGGAAGATTGATAGATTTTCTTGAACGTGGCGTAACCAATTTGAAACGTTGCACCTACTTGGTGCTTGATGAAGCCGATCGTATGTTGGATATGGGCTTTGAGCCTCAAATCCGCAAGATCATTAAACAAATACGTCCCGATCGTCAAGTTTTGATGTGGTCCGCAACCTGGCCCAAAGAAGTTCGCAACTTGGCCGAAGAGTTCTTGGACAATTACATACAAATTAATATCGGTTCCCTCACCTTGTCGGCCAATCACAATATTCTACAAATTGTCGATGTTTGTGAGGAAAATGAAAAAGATGTTAAGCTATTGAAACTTTTGGGTGAAATCTCATCTGAAAAAGACACAAAGACCATTATCTTTGTGGAGACCAAAAAGCGTGTCGATGAAATCACCCGTTCCATATCGCGTCAAGGATGGCGTGCATGTGCCATTCACGGCGACAAGTCTCAGCAAGAACGTGACTACGTCTTGGCATCGTTCCGTAATGGCCGCAATGCCATTTTGGTTGCCACTGATGTAGCTGCCCGTGGATTAGGTAAGCGAGATGTTTACATTTGAATAAAGTCGAAATGTACTTTTCGATGCGTGCACAACAATGTTTGTTTGCCACATCTTGTTAATAATGGCAAGGCGAGTGATGCTGTGGATGAAATGATAATTTAAATGAATTCTTTCATTATTTGAAATTTGGTTCGTCTGTGATTTTGTTGCAGTGATGACTTGATGCGCAGTGGAAAGACCGCAGGCGTCGATCATGCGTCACAACCAGTCAACGAGAATTACAAGATGAAGCCAAAGAGAACCCAACACCTACAATTAAAAAAAAATGAAAATCTATTAAAACACAAGTTTTTTTTTCTATCTCTCCATAACTCAACAACAACAACAAAACAGATGAAAATTTTTGAAACATTTTTAGCAGCTTTTTGTCTACTAAAATTGATTGTTCCCATATTATATATTACTCTTTCTCTCAAAACATAGGTGGGTGGTATAAACATTCACTTAACTCTCTCTGTTATTGTTTTATATGTTGTGATTGAAGAATTTTTATTGATGATTTGACACATACATATGATGTTGATGATGATGATGAACATGGTGTGGGGTGCGCTAAATAATGAGGAGAATATTTTTTCCATACATTGCTGGTTCCAAATACATTGTAATGCATATTTGTAATTTCATGAGGTCAGTCAAGGACAAAAAGATATGAAGTCGCTACGATAAAGGAAAAAAACAGAATCGGTGTTGAAAAAATTATATATCTTTGAGGCATCTATTTTAGATAATAATTACCCTTTTTGTATTCCTCATGTGTGTGAGGATGAAGGGGTTGCATGCAAATTGAAATAACTCGAAAACTCCTGGATGATCGTTCAAATCCCTAACGTTTCAATATCGGTTTATAAATTTTAAAAGAGACATTATTGGGAAAAAATTAAAAAAATATAGAAAACAAGAGAGAAATAATAGTTAAGAAATATCAGAATAAAGAAAAAATAAATGAAAAATAGTTATAAAAAATTTAAAAAAATAAAAATAACTTAAAAAATTAAAAGATAAAAAATAATAAATATTTGTTATTAAAAAACATCTTTAAAAAAATAATAACAAATAAACCAATAATAAAAAATAATAAAAAAAAAAAAAAAAAAAAATAACAAAAATAACAAAAAAAAATAGAAAATAATAAAAAATAATAAAAAAATAATAATAAAAATGAAATAAAAATAAAATATAAAAAGAGTTAAAAATGTAAAAAAGCTAAAGAAGAGAAAAATAATAACAGAAATATAAAAAAATAAATCATTTAAAAAAATTAAATAAAAAAATATATAATAATAAAACATAAACAAATTAATAAAAAATGTTTAAAGAAAAGATATTTGAAAAATTGAAAAAAATAATAAAAGAAAATAAAAATAAATAAAAACAAAAAATAAATGAAGAAACAAAAAGGGAAAAAATAATTTCCGAAACATTATTTTTTACACTCATAGTTCTTATTTATTCCTTTTATATTTATTCAGTAAAAATATAAAGAAATAATAAAAAATTAAACTAAACATGAAACACAAAACACTTCAATTTCATCGAAACATTTTTTTTTAATATTTGATTTTCCTTGAATTTCATATTCCCCAAATCCAATAGTTTTCGAGCAATAAATAATATCATTAAAACTTAAATTCATTCGATTCAATTACTATTATTAATATACAATAATGTGCGACTTTAAAACATATATTTTTGACTGGCTACTTGATGAATGAGATTATATAGGTTATATATATATTTCTTTATGTATGTATGTCCTAATTTCGATTGGGATATTTTAAAATGTGAACAAAAATAACATCAGTTACTCTAAAAAAAAAAAAACAAAAATAAAAAATGGACTTCGATTTTTATGTACTCTTTTTATATAACATAAACTAGTATTATTTGTGGTTATTATTTATTGCGCTTAGGCTTTAGCATATTTAAAACAAAAAAAAAAAAAAAAAAAAACAACATTGCTTTTTTAAGTAGTATTGGTGTTTTTTAAGAGCCCAAAATTTCACTCCTCCCAATATTTATAATGTAATAGAAAAGAAAAGCTAAATTCAATTATGTTACTCGTAACTCTCCCCCCAAACTTCTTAACATTGAACCCGAACGGTACATGTGCACTTGACCATGCCGCGTTTTCTTTGTTACGATGATATATTTTGTATAACACTTTTATTACAGTTTGAAGGTAGCCTCTAACACAAGGGATGTTGCAGGTAAGTACCACATGATGTATATAAACACAAGTATGTTTCCTAGTTCTTATAAATGAATTAAGCTTTTAAAATCAAAGTTATGTTATATACTATTTTGATTTGTTTTTAATTTAACCAAATGGTGGATGTCTCTCTCTCGGTGTGAAATCCAAAAAAATGACGAGACGGCATTCCACATTCATATATCACAAATATTATTATTAAAATAGAACGAAAATTGTATGTGAAAAAGGTCGAGGTCCAATATATAATTCATAACAAAAAAAAAAGAAACAAAAACAAAGAACACCAAACGTCTAATTTTATAACGAAGAAATGGTATTTTTTGTAAATTGCGATTGATGGATAAATTTTTGTTCCAACTATTGAAATTATGTAATACTACATTGTTGTTTGAGCCCCCATAAATGCTTCTTGGTTTAACATACCCATTGAATTTCTATTTCAATCACAACTACTACCACGAATAGATGTCGATGATGTTAAGTTCGTCATCAACTACGATTATCCTTCGAACTCGGAAGACTATGTACATCGTATCGGGCGTACTGGACGTTCGAATAATACGGGAACGGCATACACACTCTTCACCACATCAAATGCCAACAAGGCCAATGACTTGGTTCAGGTGCTGAAGGAAGCTAATCAGGTAAGATTCATATTCGCATTTTAATTATTTTTTTACATTCATTAACGTCGGGCAAAGAATCCCAACAACACAACAAAGAATCTTCGTTTATTAAAATAATTTGTTTCTTTCCCTTTGTAGGTCATAAATCCACGTCTCATGGATATGGCTGCGGCAACATCGCGTCGTGGCGGTCGTGGTCACAATTCCCATGGGGGTTTCAAACAAAACAATTACCAACGTTTTGGTGGTCGGCAAAATAACAACTACGGTCGTCCGGCAGAACATCAGCAGCAGCAGCATCATCAACAACAAAGACCATCCTATTCACAATATCCTCCACAACAAGCTCAATTAGCCGGCGGTGGTTATCAACAACAGCAACAACAAGCGACCAGAACCAATGGCCAACAGTCCAGATTTTCACAGGCTCCACCACCACAACATCAGCAGCAACAACACCATCATCATCAACAGCAAGCTCCTCCTCGTCATCAATCCGCCTATGAGCCTTCGGCCACAGATAAGAAATCGCGTTTTGGCCCACCAACTGCCACAGTTGGAGGAGGACACTACGATTCGGCAGCGTCTTATATGCCCAAAACATTGGCTGCAGGCGGCTATGTTCAACAGGCTCCTCCCCCACTACCCACAGCTGCGTATGTCGTTCCCTCATCAGCGTATGCGTATCCCCCGCCCCCACTACCCGTTCAGAATTGAACAACCTGATTTTCATAAACAGAGGCTTTTAAACTCATTTTAATTCCAAACCATACATACATTTTTTCATAGTAATTAATAACTAATATATAACTATTCAATATTGTTGTATCGCGGCGTCGTCGCCATTGAATGTCGGTCGTGTACCACCGTTGTCGTCGTTGCCGCGCAACCGTAGTTAAATTTCAAGTATTACAAAAATATCCAATTTTGTATCTGTGAATTATCTTCGTTTTTTTCACCACCCATTCTTTTCCCCTTCAATCGGTTGTTCTATTTTTTCTCTCAAATTGTTTTTTTTTACTCTTCTCTACTTTTTATGCTTTAACACTATATAAACAATAAGATTTTATTATATATAAAATAAATATAAAATCTTATTTATTCTTTATCCCTTAAGTATATTTAATATAAGAACATTTTAGATATTACAATAACTTTTTGAAGTTATGATGCAAAAACATAAAACCAAAACAAAAAAACACAATAAAAATAACACAAAATAAAGGTTTACTCTCAATCTTATTGAAACCAATTTCGAATGTCTTTTATTTAGAATGCTTTAAAAGCCGAACCCTCCACCATTTTGAAGAAACTTGAAAATTTTCAAAAAAAAAATCCACAGGAAAAATAACTCAAATAAAACTCCTTATATGGGGGCTATACGAATACGTGTTTCTTCATAAATAATTTTTGGGCATAGGCTGTAGCACCCATTACGAACTTCAATTACAAAATTTGAAACAATTCTTATGAATAATACCGCTAAAATCACCAAAATACCGAATATCGGGAGATATCGTTATATGGGGGCTATACGAAGACGTGAACCTACATACGCGATTTTTTGTCATAGGCTGGAGTATCTATTACGAGCTTAAAATACAAAATTTGAAACAATTCCAGTAAAAAATATAGCTAAAATCATCAGAACACCGGTTATCGGAAGTACCGTTATATGGGGGCTATATGAAACGTGGACCTTCATGGCCTATTTACGAATTTAATCTGCACACTTTTTCGATTAAATTCGTCTTTATTGCCAAACACGACTTCAACCACAAGACAAAAACTGCAACTACGATCTACAGAGGCATATTGAGGCATCAGAATTTGGGGTTTAATTCTCAGAGTACATTTTTCCTGCTGTATATATATAAAAATAATTGTTCCTGACTGGATTCTTGTTCTATGAAAATTTGAAATGAAAAATATTTCCTTTATAAAATTTTTCATTTGACATTTCTTTCCTTTATAAAAGTTTCCATAAGAATTGAGGCCCGGGTCAAAATGTTACATCAATATATCCCTTTTCACACGTGGTAAGTTGATCGTAAAGGCAAAACCGTTTTTAGAAGATAAGGTTGAAATATTCCCTTGCTCAAGCTTTCTATGTATGGACCATGGTAGAAGAATATAGGTAGACGCTTCGACACAGCTGCTGGGACAATGAACGGTCAAACCAATTTTGGAATTGAAATTGTTGAATGAAAAATTACTCAAATTGCATATTATAACAACCTCGGATTGGCGTCGTGTAGGAAAACATATACAAATATACTTATTTTTGAAGAAATATTTTAAAAAAATTTGACATATCAATGTTCCCAAGCGTTGATGCATCTACCTGTATTTTTCTACCACGGTATGGACTAGGGAAATTTATGTTTTGGTATGGTATGTTTACAGTTCATAGGATTTAGTAAACTCAATAAATTCATATTGCAAATTGCACAGAATATACGTTAAATAATTTTTTATAGTAATACATATTAACATCATGAAAAAATCAATAAAATTCCAATATCATGCAGTGCGAATAGAGTTACTCACGCAGTGATGTCCGTTCTACGTTACGTACGTTCTAATAACTAACATATCATGTGAGACAGCTTTGTTTATGTTACTTTCCACAGGTGGCGCTTTTTGGATTACTGCCAATCAAGACGAATGGTTGACATTTTCTGTTTACATGTTATTATTTTAAATTCAGCGTGAAAGGAAAATTATGGATTGCAATTCCAAATTAAAGTGAAAAGAAAATTGATATAGAATTAGAATTATTTGAGGATTGACTCAATAACAGTGCTCAAAATGTCAAGCAAGAAGAAGTCTCTAAGTTCGGCTGGCTAGAATTGTTGACACCCTCGCAACACCGATATTAGCTAAAGGGTGATTTTTAACATCTAAGGAAGAGATATGTGATATTGATAGTACGGCCCGTGACACAATAAAAAGGTAAGGTATACCCACCAACTAGTTACAATTTTTTTTATGAGTGTGCCCGACTTCTGCCAATTTGTTTGTACCATTGTTTTCATTGTTTTGAAAAATAAAAACAAACAATTTTCAGAATCAATGACTACCAGAAACATACATTGCATGTCTCGCTTTATGATATTAACAAATTTGGCCAGGCATTGAAATATTAGCTTTTTGGGTCATATTTTTGGAACAAAATCCAGGCGCCCACTTATCTTTCCCCTCATTTAACTCATTTCAGAAATCAGGAATCAATATCAAACGTAAGAGAATAATTTGATGCATCTAATTTTGAATAATTCTGAAAGCGGTCATAGTCTCATAGCTGTATCGACCGAAGTATTCCGTTTTCATACTTCATCTAATACAGATAAAAATATTGGTAGGGCAAAGAATTACAAGAAAATCGAAATTTTTATATCCAATTTTATGCGAAATCATAAATTCCATATTCATCCCATGTTTCCGGTTGAGAGAAATATTTAGATATATCAAGTTGTAAAGAATCGCTGACTTGTTTTGCAAGTTATGACAGATATAAGTACTGAAAATTGTGATCTTTTGTCGGTGAGGTACCAGATATATATCATCAGATATATATCATCTCCACAACAGATCCTGTGTTAACAAAAATGTTTGTATGTGTGAAATTTAAAGATAGTTGGGTGGTTATTTCGCTTCCTTTGAGCTTTTCTTTTTTAAAATATTGAATCCTACATGGGGGAGGTAACAGAAGGAATGGTCCGTTCTCTACCATTTTAATAACAAATTCTGGTGGAAATATTGTGATATACCAAATCTGAATGGAATCGGATGTTAATTTCGCGTTCTATGAGCTTCATGGATACTCAAAAATTTGACCCTTTGTGGGGAAGGTACCACAAGGAATGGACCGTTAATCCTAATTTTACAACAGATCTTGTATTAGTAGAAATAATGGGATGTGTGAAATTTAAAGAGAACCTGATGTTTATTTCGCTTTTTATGACCTTCTTGGATATTCAAAATGTTGACCCTTTGTAGGTGAGGTACCGGAAGGAATGGTCCCATCTCTACCGTTTTTACAACAAATCCTGTGCTGATGGAAATATTCAGATGTGCCAAGTCTAAATGGAGTCAGATATTAATTTCCCGTTTTAGGAGCTTCATGGATATTCAAAATTTTGAGCTTTTGTGGAGGAGGTACTTGATGGAGTGGACCGATATTGCCCGTTTTCACACCTGACCTACCAAAGTTGGGGCAAAATCGGATTATCGTTTCTCTTTCTGTGCAGAAAATAATTTTTTTGAAAATTTCGATCTTCTTTGGGGAAGGTAACATAAGGAGTGGACCTGGACCGATATTGCCCATCTCCGAACTCGAACTAAGTTTGATAATAATATTACGATGTACCAAGTTTGGACAAAGACGGACGGATATCGCTAGATCGACTCCAAATGTCCTGAAACGGATTTGGTAAAAATCTGCTTGGACTGACGCTTCAAACGCGGTATGTCATTAAGCGATGTGACATCTCTGTCAAAAGTTATGGCGTTGCCAGATGGGTCCGTCGAATATGGGCAACCCTGTAGTCCAAATCAGGCACATCGCAATATTTATATCACATTTATTTAGGTCCTGTTCGAAATGGACAATATTGGTCCATTCCTTTCATAGAGGGTCAACAATCGACCATTGGCTGAGGGTATACAGCTGTCGGCAAAACCGACTGATACTTTTTAACTGTATTTTGAAAACATTGGATAACAAAATTTCAAATTGTGATGCAGCGTTCACTTCCATGGCACATCTGAATTGAATTGAGTCAGAGTGTCAATTGCAGCCATTCTGAAAAAGCTTTCCTAATCGCATCGTCTGATAAAACGTACAGCAATTTTCAAATCGAATTACAACTTTTAAGGTTCCCCAAAATCTTGCTTGTCTTGAGAACATCAAATGGACGACTTTATAAGGAATTAAAGACCTCTTTTATCAGACATAGGCGACACATTACCGCTCTTCTGTAAATTTTAATAATGTATTGAAAATAGTCTCCACACTACAAAAAATATTGAGTTTGTTATTATCTTCTGTTTGCTTTTCAATTTTATTACTTTCCATTGTTTTGTGTTTCATTTTCTTTTGTTCTTGTTGTTGTTTTGTTTGTTTGTTTTTATAAGAAAAACTATTTTACATCAAATAAGAGTATATATAGAACTAATAATAATAAATAAATTATTTCATTAATACAATATATATTTAATATAATAATAATAATTAAATAATAATAATATGCTACACATTACCATTATTTCGGGTTTCATTTTGGTTTTGGGGTTTTTGTTGTGTTTTTGGTTTTTTTTTTGGTTTTATTTTGTTAATAATAAAAATTACTCAAAATACAATACAATTACGTTTACAAAGTTTTCAAGTTTTGGTTTTTTGTTTTTTTTTTGGGGGGGGAGGGGGGTCTTAGTTTGGTTTCAATATTTTTTTTATTATTCATTTGTTATGCAGTACAGTGTGTACGTTACACGACGACAAATGCACACAAGTAAAACAGTTAATAATTCTCATCAGGTTGGTACAATTTGTTGTTGTTGTTCATATTCTTCTTCTTCACTTATTGTTTATAAATGTTTATGATGTTTTTGTTGTTTCGATCGAATTAGCAATTAGAAGTTTTAAAGTTTTTGTTTTTCTCATTTTTTGTTAGTTTTTCATTATTGGCTTTTTAATGTTTTTTACGATACTCTTAGATTTTCCTTTTAATGTTTTTTTATTCATTTATTTTCCCATTACATTGTAAATTATTAAATGTAATTTGTTTTGTAGTTTTTTTATAAATCCTATGTAGTAAATATATGGTGCATCAGGGTACAGAATGACATATAAAATGAAAATGCTAAAGTAGAATGGCACAACTGATGGTCGAAGGAAGGATGGAAGGAAGGTAGGAGAATGGGCGTTGACGTAAATCACCGAAAAAAAAAAAGAAATGCATGGATTTCAAGATGACATACAAGAATGTAGAATATTACATACACACACATTATTTGTAGGAAAGTTAACAGCCAATGCATTGGAAATCACGTGAGTTGTAATTGGGGCGTTTTACTTTTAAATTGAAGGGGCAGGGACATTTTGATATTGCATGGTTTTTAAAAAATATTGGAAATAGAAGAGGAATTTTTTATAATATAGACCCAAAAGCTACCACGATCGATAATAAAAGGGCTTGGAATAACTATTTTAAATTTAGCAATTTTGCATGATTTTTAAAAAATATTGGAAATAGAAGGGGAATTTTTTATAATATAGACCCAAAAGCTACCATGATCGACAATAAATTGGCTTTGAATAATTTTTAAAAATTAAACATTTTTTTTTACTCCCTAGAGCCATGAGACATTTTCGGGGATTTGAGACAACCTTTAGAAGGAGGAAGTCACTGTTTATTTTTGTGGAAAAGAAAAATTAAAAGAAAAATACACACTGAGAAATTTCTGAAGTGGCGCCCAAATTGATGCATAGAAACATGCTGTCAAAATAGCATCGAAACTTTACCGGATTGGTTTGCCGACCACTAATGAAACATAAATAAAGGAATCGGGGTTCTAAAAATTTGATGTGAATTTTAACGATGATAATTCCGTATACTAGTTATATTCAGAAAGTCTTTCCATAACAAGGATAATTAAATTAACCAATGCGAATCTGAGTTAGAACAATTACAGATTATGACCATCAAATGAAGTGAGATGACGTGCGAACTACGTAAGGTGAAAGCACATAAACAGCTTGAAGTCTTTGCATGGCATATTTTGTGACATATCATAAAAACTTCAAGCTGTTTATGAATTCGCAACTTTAGAGTGTTTTATTTTTCAAAATTTTGAACACTTTGTGGGGGAAGTACCAGAAAAAGTGCGTCGATATATCCCTATTTCACAGCAGGTCTTGTGTTTGTAAAAATAATGGCATATGTGAAATTTGTAAGGAACCGGATGTTTATTTCGAATTTTATTATCGTTTTTGTTTTTAAAAACCTTAACCCTTTGTGGGGTAGGTACCAGAAGGAGTGGTCCGATCTTGTGTTGAAGAAAAAATTGAGATGTGTCAAGCCTGAATGGAATTGAATGTAAATTCCGCGTTTTATGAGCTTCACGGATATCAACATTTTGATCCTTTGTAGGGGAGGTTCCAGAAGGAGTGGACCGATATAACCCATTTTCGCACCAGATCTTGTGTTAGTAGAAATAATTGGATTTGTGAAATATGAAGAGAACCGGATACTTCTTATAATTATTTTGGTTATTAAAAACTTTGACCTTTAGTGAGGGAGGTACCAGAAGGAATGGTCTGATCTCCATCATCTTCATGTGCTAAGTCTGAATGGAATTGGATGTTAATTTCGCGTTTTATGAGCTTCATAGATATTCAAAATGTTGACCCTCTGTGGGGGAAGTACCCGAAGGAGTGGACCGATATATTACATATTCACACCAGACCTTGGGTTAATAAAAATATTGTGATATCGGTAATTTTAAATTGTTGAACCTTTGTGGGGGAGGTATTGGATGGAGTGAATCGGTATTGTCCATTATCGCACCTGCTGTAGCTCTGATGGAAATATTAAGATTTGCAAAATTCGAATTATCCTTTCTCTTTCTGTGCAGTAAAATATTTTGTTGGAAAAATTCGACATTTTGTGGGGGAGGTATCGACCGATATCGGACTCTTACATTAAAAATTTAAAAGAGTTATAATTATTCAAAATGTTGACCCGTTGAGGGGGAGGTACTTGATGGAGTTAACCGATATTGTCCATTTTCGCACCTGGCCTAGTACTGATGCAAATATTAGGATTTGCAAAGTTGGAGCTTTTGTTAGGGAAGTACCAGAAGGAGTGGACCGATATTGCCGAACTCGATCTAAGTTTACAATAATATTACGATGTACCAAGTTTGGACCAAGTCGGATACTCCCTTCTAGAGTTATGGTGCGCACCAGCCAGACAGACAGATGGACGGACATCGCTAGTTCAACTCCAAATGTCCTGAACGAATTTGGTACAAACAGGCATAGGGTCTACAACCGTTATTTCGATGAGGAACGTTTTGGCCTTATCAAATGATATATACCCTGAGTCATGTAAAAAGAGAAAACAGAGAAGCTGAACGATCAGCAGGAGATGGTGCCCAAATTGAAGAATATAATGCGCTCTGGATTCTAACAGCGTATTCTTGGTTCAGTTTGGTCAAAGTTATTTAACTGACGAAATGGCGCCCAAGATGACAAAGTAGTACCAAATCTTATCACTGCTAATGGAATATACAAAAGGAGTATTCAAAAAGAGAACACGGAGAAGTTGGACGATCTGCAGCAGATAACGCCCAAATTAAAGAATATAATGTGCTGAAAGGATAGTATGGGGACTTGGGTAGCATAAAAGAAAAAATTCTCGGTTCAGTTGGGACATTGTTACTTAACTGGCGAAAGGATGCCCAAATTGATGAATGTAAAAAATTCTGACAAAATTAAATCAGAATTTTAGAGTGTTAGAGGACTTCCCATAGAAGGACAAGAGGGTTTCTCATAGAAAACCCATAGATCTTGCCAACGAACGAAGTCATATGGTGAACAGAAGATCATAAAAGATTAAAAGTTTTTCTCAAAAAGACCAAGAGGGGTTCCCGCAGAAGACTAATATATCTTTTCTGATACGACCATCAGGTCTTGTCCTAAGGGACTAATTGATCTTCTTATAGAAGACCCATACATTTTGCCAAAAGAATCAAAAGGATAAGCCGGAGATCATAGAAAACTGAAAGGCCTTCTCAAAAAACGAAAACAAGAGGTCTCCCCATAAAAGCAGAAGAGGGCTTCCCACAGAAGATAGATCATTACAAAACAAAAAAAAAAAAAAAAAACAATAGGCGTTGTCCCACAAAACCAAAAGGCCTTCTCACAGAAGCCCAACGGGACTTCTCTAATAAGACCTATTTGACTTCTCATATAAGATCCATTGGGCTTCTCATCGAAGACAATAAGACCAAGATATCCTCTCGAAAAAAAGAGATATTCCCATAGGAGTTCTTCTCCTAGAATACCTTCTTAGAATATATTAAAAAGCGTTCTCATAGGAGATTAATATTTCCAATTATAGAAAGCCAAGGGTTCATAGAGGTCCCAGGGTCCTTTAAAAAAGGCTAATAGACTCATTAAGACCTCATTAAGAGGAACTATAGGCCTTTTACCAGAATACCAATAGTTCTTCTAGAAAACCAATCGGTCTTTTCACCACCAATAGGTCTTCTCGTTGAATACCAAAGGGTCTTCTCATCGGAGACCAAGATGTTCTCTAATAGAAGAGCAAGAGGTCCTCTAAAAGAAGACCAAAAAGTGTTCTCGTAAAGGACCCTAGAGATCCTCTTATAGAAGGCCAAAGGCGTTTTTGTAGACCATGTAAAGACATGGACTTAGGCAATCAAGAAGTTATCTGCCGATGACAATTTTTCCGCAAGTGGGGTTTTCCCCCAAAGCATATGAAAAAATTATATTCGGCTCTGATTCGGCTTTTTATAGATCGTGAACAATTTTATGACGCTTCGCTCCATCTGTAAAGCACAATTTCCAAACATTTTTGGTGCCACCTCATAATCTGAAAAAGTCAACACATTGTCTCCATTAGCTTTTCGGCAAATGTTATCACCTTTTTACGACAAAAATGCGAGCTTTACAACTCACGCGATTTCTGGCACAGGGATCACTGAATTAATGCATGGCTAGCAGGAGGCGTGTGTCTGTCTCCATGTTGTAAATGCGGTAATGGATTGTGGCATGAGCGCAGTTCTTTTACTTTGTAACATCGTTTGGTTGTTGTTGTCTTTTTTTATAACAGAATTTATAACTATTTTGGCTTTATAGATGTGATGAATGTGTGTGTGTAGGTGTCTGTGTTTCTTAATTTTATGAACCAGCAATGTGAAATTGAGAGAGAGTACATTTCTTTATTTTCTTTCTTTCCATTTCATTTGTTATGTGTATGTATGCATGTATTTGTTTGGCTCCAACGCCGAACCCATTGCACAGGACCGCAAAAATATACACTACACCACCACATGTGGCAGATAACAATTGTCCAGCGGGAATATTCACTCGAATAGCCCTGGTTTTTAGATATTCTAGATTTCTAGTTTGTAGTTTACTTTTTTTTTAATAATTTGTTTTTTTTCCTTTAGTGTTTTGTGTTTTCCTTTTCTTTTTTCATCGAATGTTCTTTTAGTTTGGCTTTTCTTGTTGTTGTTTTTTGTTTTTAAATATAACTTTATTGTTGTTGTTGTGTTTGCTGCTAATTATTTATATATCACGAGAGCTCCTGCGAGAATTGTGTCTCCAGGTTGGGTCTTCGGCTGTTGGGATGATTGCGTGCATTAACGGCTGTCTGATTGCGCAACGGTGGTGGCCCTGGACTGCCATAGCCAGCCGTATACAGTTGTGGACATGAGTCTTTGATGAGTTCCTGGGTTTCGCGTATTTGCCGTTGGACCTGAGGTGCTAAACGTTGCACACTGATGGCAGGTGGGAACCTATATTCAGTATTTGATGTCTGTTAAAAGAGAGGGAGAGAGAGAAAAATGTCAAAATGATTCTAATAAAGATTTTTAGAGATTTTAACTATCTAAAAATATGTATATTTATGTTCCAATGAACATACCTCCTTGGTTGCTAAAATGGAAATTTGCTACTAATTTTTTTTCTACTAAACAAATTAGAATTAGAATACTGTTTTGCATTCTCAAACTCTATTTCTTTGAAAGTTTACAACTCTTTCTCTCTCCATTTTTTCTATTCCTGCTCTATTCATATTTGTGTTAGTGACCACGGTATTGCTAACCAAAAGCGGCCTTTACACAATCATCATCCCAGCGGATTTTTTAGCACATACATCTTCCATCTGAGACCAATGACAATGTAGGTGCGACCCATCCAAAGCCTGTATACAATTTCTACTTACATTTACACAGCGATGGCCTAGGCCGTCAGACGAATCCGAAATCTACCGACAATGTAAGCGAATGTTGGATGGGTCCGAAATCTACCGACAACGTAAGCGAATGTTGGATGGGTCCGAAATCTATCAACATTGTAAGCGAGGGTTGGATGGGTCCGATTCCATCAACATTTTAGATTGTCGAACTTAAATTTCAGCTGTTTTTTATTAAAATATTCGTATTATAGAACAGTGTTTTCAACAATAAAATATTATTATTATAATTAAAAATAATGCATAAAAACGATATTCATAAAACTTATTCAAAAGACGTGGGAAGAAACAAAGCTTAAACTAAAGGAAAAAATTAAATTTTTCCATTTTTTTTATTGTAGGACATTGTCCGGAAGTGTGTGGCCTTAGGGAATTTGAAACAATTTTTATTTTTTTTTTTTTTTTGGTGTACCGAAAATGGCCATGATTAAAAGTTTATATTCCTTAAACGCCTTTTTATTTTGGGTACCATCATAGCTGTAAGATAATATTATAGAAATGTCAATAATCTTGCAGAAGTTTTTAATAAGGTCATCTGGTGAAATTATAATATTTATGATACTAACCTGAAAGAAATAAAATTATTAATGGATTGTAACGGAGATTTCTTAATATTCTTACATATTTTCCAAAATCTTCTACAATTTTGGAATGCATGGAATCTGCTCATTTAGTACAATATCATTGTTTTCCAAACAGTGAATTTCTTTTTAAATTGTTTGCTTCCACTTTCTTTAATCGTCTTAAATTTCTCCTACTGAATCCTGACATTTTATTTAACTTATTTAACACACAACACTTACTATATTCTTATTTTAATTATTTATTTTATTAACTTTTTTTCAATATTCACAACTTGCACTTTCAAAAACACTTCACAGAATAAAATTTTGCTTTAAAAAAGAAAGAAGCATCAAAAATGAATAACGGCACAACACCGACTGCAACAACACACACAAAAAAACTTTACAAAACAATACAAAGGCATCTGATTCAGATGCAAGTGCGATGCACACATTTTATTATGTTTTGTTTTGTTCTTTAATTCTAATATGGATTTTGTTCCACAATGTAATAGCAATGCGACTCATCCAAATCGGATGCTAGTTGTATGCTATAAACCACTGTTATTTCATTTTTTCCTATTGACAAAACAGCATACATTTGGATGGGTATTAAATTGTAATGGCCAGCGGACTGCTGGGATAACAAGAGAGAGAGAGAGAGAGAGAGAGAGAGAGAGAGAGAGAGAGAGAGAGAGAGTAACAAAGGAAGAAGAATAACAAGGAACAGTGTTTATGTGGGGTATGTTCAGTAAAATTAACAGTGATATTGCCATAGCGTTTCTCACATAAACATAAAGTCTTCTTCTTCTATAAGAGACTTGTAGAGCGTCTTCAGTCCATAAAAAAACTATGGAAGATATTCGGTCCACGGAAGATCAAGAAGACGCTTTGAAGAATTTCCAAGAAGAAGTAAGGACGCATGCCTTCACAGCGCGTATTTTTCTCTACATTCAAAAAAAAATGGAAGCAGATAAAACGACACTCTGCCCGGCCCTGCTCTAGAAGAATTTAATATTTGTGCCACTGTGTTCACTCAATTTCTCAATGGCTTGTTTTTTATTACAAAAATAACAACAACAACACTACCAAATACATACCTGAACATTATGCTGTTGCTGCTGCTGTTGTTGTTGTACAACTACATCACCATAATATGACGATGCGGAAGATGTTGATGATGACAATGATGATGATGTTTGTATTTGGCCATGTGGAGTTTGTTGTTGCTGTTGTTCATATTGCTGTTGGAGCTGTTGTTGTTGTTGCTGCTGCTGTTGTTGTTGCTGAGTTATGACATCTCCATATTGTTGCAACACCGCCTGCTGTTGCTGTGGCGTGGGCGGCATTTGCACCGCCTGGCCATAATAGGCCAATTGCATGTTTACGGCCGATTGGGGCGCCGCTCTTCCTCCATTGACGTAATTGAGTGGTGTTGTTGTTGTTGCTGCTGATGTTTGTAAATTTGGCGGGGTAGCGGTCATAAACTGCTGGTGTATGGGATTGGTCGGCGGGGGTTGTTGCATTTGCTGTTGTTGTTGTTGTTGCGATAACGGACTAGAATTAATCAACAAACGACCATCGGCCAAACGTTTGGGACTAACCTGACCAGTTTTGCCCAGGAGTGGCGACGATCCAGCCGGTATGGCCAACATATACTGTTGCGGTGTCGTTTGTGCATTGGGAGGTGGTTGTGGTGTCGTTTGCAGCTGCTGTTGCTGCTGCTGCATTATAGCCAGGGCATTGGACGTATTCACATTGACTGTGGCCATATTCACCGACGCCGCACTGTCCACAACGGCGGCCGCACTAATGCTCATCGGTATTTGGGGCATCACCGATATCTGGTGCAGCATGCCCGAATTCATTTGAGGAATGGTTATTTGCTTACTAGGCGTAAGTTTGAGTGTACCCGCACCCGCTCCCAGCTGACTGACGCCAGTTGCTGGTGCACCAGGATGAGGTAGAAACTCTGAGTTAAGAACTTGTGGTGGTATAGCCGTCGTCGTTAGCATGGCGCGGGGCGTTGCCTGGATCAGTTGTTTGGCCGGTGTCTGGCGTACTGGTGTTGTTTGCAGCGAACGACTAGCTGAGGAACACATGGAAGCTGTTAGGCTGGCCGATTCCCAATGCTGGACCAAGGCATTTAGGCGAGCTTCCTCTAGGGCTATTTCGGTTTCGCTATTTGAATCGTAGTCCGGTCCCTGTGGAGAGATAGAACAAAAATTAGATTCCATTTTGCGGGTGTTTTATTTGCCCAGCTTACCTCTTCGATTTTTTTATCCAACATACGGAAAAAGTTCTGCTGACTGCTGGATATCTCCCTGAAATGGGAAATTTACAATTAAAAAAATGTGGCACTCCTTGAGGTAGAACATGTAACAATTGGAAACTCACTGGCTCTGTAACAGGGACAGGTTTCTGGCCCGCAGCAGTGACACCGAAACTTCTTCGTCCGTTTCATTGGATTCTTTATTGCTATTCTCTTCAGAGTCTTCATTTCGATCGCGTTCACGATTTTCGGCATCTTCGATATGGCCTTCCTCTTCGTCTGTTTCGGCTTCTGAATCGCCTGCAATTAAAAGAGATATATAAATGATTTATGAGTTTTAATTCAAATTTCTATATTTAAATCAGAACGTGGACATTTGGAATGGAAACACATATCGAGGTCTACATAAGGTCGGCCAAGAGGACTACTTTTTTCCCAAACATCTTGCACTCCAAACATGGATTATTTAAAGAATACTTTTTTCGAAACTTGTTGAGATCCAAAGGTGGATTTTTATAGAATATTTTTCTCGAAACTTGTTAAGCTCCAAACGTGGATTTTTTAAAGAATATTTTTCCGAAACTTGTTAAGCTCCAAACCTGCATTTAAAAAAAAAAATTTTCCGAAACTTGTTGTGCTCCAGACGTGGATTTTTTGAAGAATATTTTTCCGAAACTTTTTGAGCTCCAAACGTGGAAATGGCTCGTGAGCTGAGCATATCGCAATATTCCATTCGCAAATATTGAAAAATGAGCTCGGGGTAAATCCATTGAAATTCCAAAAAGTGCAAGAACTTACACCACAAAATGTCAGTTGAAAATGTGCACCTTCGGTTGGTCACCAGAACTCAAGCGCCGGCCATGGTGATGGTGTGGGCCGCCATAACAACCGATGGTCGCACTCCGCTCGTATTAATCGACCGTGGTATCAGAATAAATGCCGAATATTATCGCAAAATTATTCTGGAGGGTGTATTAAAACCTTGGGCACACAAACATTTTGGCCGCAGACCTTGGACATTCCAACAGGACTCAGCACGCGCCACCCAAGAATAATTACAATACGCACAATAGCCACAAACAAAACTTCATTAGCTTGCAAATAATGACCTCTTGCCTACAATATCTTTCAACCCTTTACAGAATACATTTTCAATGGCATTTAAGAAGTAAATATCATGTCCTTGGAGGGCATATCCTGGAAAATGGAAATTTTTGGCATCTTAAACTGGTTGGCAAAACGCAGATAAGCAAGCATGTTTTTTTGAAACAAGCAAACAAACAATGGCTAAATGCATTTTAATTAAAAACTATTATCATTCAGATGCAGTAGGCTCTTATTCTCCCACAAGCACATATACACACACATACCCATATGCATGTACACACCAACCAACACACCCGCCCCACATGACATTATTCTTAATGTGATATTAAAAACAATAAGAAAAATATTTATGCAGGTCTTTTGCTGTATTTTGTTCTGAAAGCGATTCTTAGACTCAAGAGGTGGAAGACGGAGAGAGGGAGGCAGGAAGGGAGCGAGCAACGTACAAGTATTGTGCCAGTCAGGTATTCTATCAAATGAAAACATTCGATTTGCATGACCCGAATCTTTTGTTTGCACATCTCATCGTTAGCAGCACTCGATGACAAATCATGTGTGTCCTGTTTTCATTGATGGTGTTGTTGTTTATTCATCGTTTGAACTGCTGCTCACAAAAGGACCAACGACATACAGGTGTGTGTTCGGTGTGTGTGAATGTCTGGTTTTATACTCATTCATTGATGTGTCGCTCTGAAAGATATGATGCAGGTGGAGTGTGTGTGTGTGTTTGTGTGCATGTATACATTCAATCAAGTAACAAATTAGTAAAAATCAATCACTTATTGTGAATTGGTTTTTTTCTTTGTTTTTGTTGTTGTTCTGCAATCCTTTTAATGTATCCAGTTCAGGATGTAAAGTGGGAATTGTCGCTGAGAGCAAAGAACATGAACTGAATATCAATTGTGTTGTTTCGAATGCATTGCATCAGGGATCTTGAACCATTAGGGGAATGACAAAAAAAAAAAAAAAACATTGGGAAATGAGGTCATAAGTGCATTTACTTTGGGCTGACATGATAAGGACCAAGAATTGATAGAAACTGATTTATGATTTTTAGGTAATAGCTCTTTGAAAAAAGCTCTAAAAATACAATGTCGAGGTCCCTTTAACAAATTATTTAAAATTGAATTATTTCACAAAAGATAGTATTTCTAAAAATTCTTTTAAAATCCAAGGTTTTGGGCAGAGCGGATTCTGTGAAAAAATCTTATGGAACCCAATTATTTAACTGCTGAAAAATCCCTGGCAAAATAACTATTTTTCAGCAAATAATATTCAAGGATTTGGGCAGATTATTCTTAAAAAAATCTTAAAAATTCTGTTATCACTTCGAAAAATTCTTTGATAATTAAAAATGGTGGCCTATGCGGTAGTCCTTCTAAACAATTCTTTAATTTTTCACTGATAACCCTTCGAAAAGAAAATCTTGAAAAATCCTTAATTTTTATAGACAATCATTCCAAAAAATTGGTTCGAAAAAATTTCTTCAAATTTGCGACTTTCCACTGATCCACCGTCTTTCGAAGAAATTCCTTAAAAGCAACAATTTTTAGCTGGTCCTTTGATGAAATTTCTTGAAATTCACAGTTTTCCACTAATAAAAAATTCCAAAAAAAAAAAAAAAAATCCCTTAAAAATCCTCGATTATTAGCTGAAGGTCCTTCCTCTGATAATCCTTCGAAAAAATCCTTAAAAATCCACGATTATTAGCTGGAAGTCCTTCCTCTGATAGTCCTTCGAAAAAATTTCTAACAAAACCACGATTGATAATCATTTAGAGCCTTGGAAAATATTCTTTAAAAATCCACGCTTGATAGACATTCAGAGCCTTGGAAAGTATTCTTTAACAGTCCACGTTTGATACACATTCAGAGCCTTGGAAAATATTTTTTAAAAATACACGTTTGATACACATTCAGAGCCTTGGAAAATATTCTTTAAAAATCCACGTTTGATAGACATTCAGAGTCTTGGAAAATGTTTTTTTAAAAATCCACGTTTGATAGACATTCAGAGCCCTGAATAATTATTCTTTATTGGTATGTTGGTCCTTGAAGGCAACACTGCTTAAAAATCCAGGTTTAATAGACATTCGGAGCCCTGAAAAATTCTTCTTTAGCCTTGAAAAAATATTCTTTAAAAATACACGTTTGATAGGCATTCAGAGCCTTGGAAAATATTTTTTAAAAATCCACTTTTGATAGACATTCAGAGCCTTGGAAAATATTCTTTAAAAATCCTTGTTTGATAGACATTCAGATCCTTGAAAAAATATTCTTTAATAATCCACGTTTGATAATCATTCAGAGCCTTGGAAAAATATTCTTTAAAATCAATGTTTGATAGACATTCGTAGCTATGAAAATATAGTCTTTAAAAATCCATATTTGATAATCATTTAGAGCCTTGGAAAATATTCTTTAAAAATCCACGCTTGATAGACATTCAGAGCCTTGGAAAGTATTCTTTAACAGTCCACGTTTGATATACATTCAGAGCCTTGGAAAATATTCTTTAAAAATCCACGTTTGATAGACATTCAGAGTCTTGGAAAATGTTTTTTTAAAAATCCACGTTTGATAGACATTCAGAGCCCTGAATAATTATTCTTTATTGGTATGTTGGTCCTTGAAGGCAACACTGCTTAAAAATCCAGGTTTAATAGACATTCGGAGCCCTGAAAAATTTTTCTTTAGCCTTGAAAAAATATTCTTTAAAAATCCACGTTTGATAGGCATTCAGAGCCTTGGAAAATATTTTTTAAAAATCCACTTTTGATAGACATTCAGAGCCTTGGAAAATATTCTTTAAAAATCCTTGTTTGATAGACATTCAGATCCTTGAAAAAATATTCTTTAATAATCCACGTTTGATAATCATTCAGAGCCTTGGAAAAATATTCTTTAAAATCAATGTTTGATAGACATTCGTAGCTATGAAAATATAGTCTTTAAAAATCCATATTTGATAATCATTTAGAGCCTTGGAAAATATTCTTTAAAAATCCACGTTTGATAATCATTCAGAGCCTTAGAAAATATTTCTTAAAAATCCACGTTTGATAGAAATTCAGAGCCTTAAACAAATTTTCTTTAAAAATCTACGTTTGATAATCATTTAGAGCTTTGGAAAATATTCTTTAAAAAACCACGATTGCTACACATTCAGAGCCTTGAAAAATATTCTTTAAAAATCCACGTTTGATAATCATTCAGAGCCTTGGAAAATATTTCTTAAAAATCCACGTTTGATAATCGTTCAGCGATTGCTAGACATTCAGAGCCTTGAAAAATATTTCTTAAAAATCCACGTTTGATAATCGTTTAGCGATTGCTAGACATTCAGAGCCTTGAAAAATTATTCTTTAAAAATCCACGTTTGATAATCGTTCAGCGATTGCTAGACATTCAGAGCCTTGAAAAATATTTCTTAAAAATCCACGTTTGATAATCGTTTAGCGATTGCTAGACATTCAGAGCCTTGAAAAATTATTCTTTAAAAATCCACGTTTGATAATCATTCAGAGCCTTGGAAAATATTCTTAAAAAATCCACGTTTGATAGACATTCAGAGCCTTGAAAAAATATTCTTTAAAAATCCACGTTTGATAGACATTCAGAGCCTTGAAAAATTATTCTTTAAAAATCCACGTTTGATAGACATTCAGAGCCTTGAAAAAATATTCTCTAAAAATCCACGTTTGACAGACATTTAGAGCCTTGGAAAATATTTTTTAAAAATCCACGTTTGACAGACATTTAGAGCCTTGGAAAATATTTTTTAAAAATCCACGTTTGGCAGACATTCAGAGCCTTGAAAATATTTTTTAAAAATCCACGTTTGATAGACATTCAGAGCCCTGAATAATTATTCTTTATTGGTATGTTGGTACTTGAAGGCAATACTGTTTAAAAATCCAGGTTTAATAGACATTCGGAGCCCTGAAAAATTCTTCTTTAGCCTTGAAAAAATATTCTTTAAAAATCCACGTTTGATAGACATTCAGAGCCCTGAATAATTATTCTTTATTGGTATTGTGGTCCTTGAAGGCAATATTCTTTAAAAATCCACGTTTGATAGACATGCAGGACCCTGAATAATTATTCTTTATTGATATTGTGGTCCTTGAAGGCAATATTGTTTAAAAATCCAGGTTTGATAGACATTCAGAGCCTTGGAAAATATTTTTAAAA